CTCTCCGCATCACCGTAGCGCCATTTTGGAGAATATATATATATATATATATAATTATAATTTACTTGGCAGTCAATGGGACAGTCACAAGCCTCCTGGGATTTTCATCCAAAATATCTTAAATTCTGTTCTGAAGACGAACAAAGCTTTTATGGGTTTGGAACGACACGGGGGTAAGTGACTAATGACAACATTTTCATTTTGGGGTGGAGTATCCCTTTAAATGTTCATTATACGTTTATATCAACCATTTTTCTTTCTTTCTCTAGTATGTTGACTCTGCAGATTTGGAGGCCAGTGCACTGCAGGAAGAGCCAGTGAGGTACCATGAGGCCTGGCAGAAACTCTGCAGCGCCAAGTGAGTAGTGACCTGCGCTCTGTTTAATTACGCCTACAATAGACATGGCTGATTTCATGCATTTTAAATCAGTAAGGCCATGCAAACGCCTTAATGGTGTTCTTTTATTGAGGAGAATTCAGACGCAGTCACTCCTGATGTAGTTTTGCTAATATTACTGCTGCGGTCTCTCGTGTCGCCAGTGGTATTTTAGTACCTGGAGGTTTTGGAGTACGAGGGACGGAGGGCAAGATTCAAGCCATCAGCTGGGCCAGGAAACAGAAGAAGCCCTTCCTGGGTAGGACTGTTCTGCTTAAAATTCATTAAAACTGAAATATCCTGCTCCGTCTGTGAATTGAACACATCTGTGCCATTTGACTTTCAGGTGTGTGTTTGGGGATGCAGCTCGCTGTGTGTGAATTTGCTAGAAACATGTTGGATTGGAAAGGTAAAATCTTCCTTTGCAATAAATTAGTAAATGCCGTACTGATTGTTTGACAAGCAGTGTTGAACAAAGTGTGACTCTCGGTTTTCCTAGATGCTAACTCCACCGAATTTGACCCAGAAACAAAACATCCTGTGGTGAGTATCCGATTTGGTTTACATGTGGATTTCTGGTGTGTTTTGGAGCAGATGTTTGATCGGTCGTCTCACAGGTGATTGACATGCCAGAGCACAATCCAGGGCAGATGGGAGGAACTATGCGGCTGGGGAAAAGGAGAACCATTTTCAAAACCCAAAACAGCATACTTAGTAAGTGCATTTCACTGAAATACTATACCAATAATACAGTAGACAACCATACGCAACAGAGAACTGGAATTATGTAAATATATGAAATTTGATTTCTCTCTCGCAGGAAAACTTTATGGAGATGTAGATTATGTCGAGGAAAGACACCGGCATCGCTTTGAGGTACATCGTCATTTATACATGCATACAATGTAATGGTCAAAGAGAACTGTGAGATATGTTGAATGTTCATGCTAAATTTGTCGTGATTTTGCTGGTGGTATAAACTAATATCTTGAAATTAATATTTCTGTATTTTAGATTCATTTTTATTTGACCATTTTCCCAAAGAGCATGTCACGGTCACATTAATTTCACAGTCCTTTCTTATATTTCGAGAGCCGTTATATGACTGACGTTGTAATGTTGGTTAAGTCATTTGGTAAGGCGATTCATTTCTTAGAATCCGCTAAAAATGTAGGTTTCAGTCAATCATCTGATGGGTTTATGTCATCTCCCAGAAGTCTTCTCTGCTCCTGTGAGGCTTTTGGCTTGCTATAGTTGAACATAGCCATAGTTGAGTATGTATGTATAGCAGTGCTTACATGGACTCAAATAATGTGTTTATAACTGGATTGATGGCTCAATCGGACTTAAAAGCCTTTATGTAAACCCCTCAATTGATCTGATTTAACTCGATCCGAATAAACTTCACTGTTAACCTGAAATGATCTGATGAACAGGAAAAAAAGGGCTCATCGGATGAAAATCTGACTTTTTCCGTGTTTAAGTG